TCTAATTTAATTATTTTATTTCATTTTATTTAAAAGGAATGTTTCATAAACAATATTTTTATAAGATTACCATTCAAGCCGTTCTTAAAAAAAAATTGAATTTATTTAAGTATTTAAATTTATATTTAACGGAATTCATATTTTCATCAATTTTAACAGAAACTTGAATTAAATCAACATTTTACTATATAAACTTAATTTATAAATATATAAATAAATAATATTTATTACCAACTTTAAATTTATTTTTTTTTCTTTTATTGAAGGTAGAGATGAAAATTAATAAAAATACTTCATGGGGTCGGAGTTCCATGTGGACCTATCCTATATAGGAAGGGGATTCCCGTTTAGATAGGAAATGGGGAGGAAGTGAGAAATATTATAAATTGAGCTAGTGATAGGATTATATGCTCTATTTCAGTCCAATTTGCCATTCCGATTTATATATATATATATTTATTATTTATTTAAAGTATACTAAAAAAATAAATTATTTCATTTCAATACTTCGATTATAATATTTAAACTAAAAACGGTCTTAAATTTTTTGTTTAATTATTAACGATTATGTTATATTAAAATTTTAATTTTTTGAAATTACGTTAATAAGAACATTACTATGAGATATAAACAAAAAAAAATTAATAGAAATAGAAAGGAAATAGGTGGTGGGTCTCCATCCTACCGTAGACATCTCTATCACGGTTCTAGTAAATTAATTTAAAAAATAAAAAATATATCATAGTTCTAGTAAATTAATTTTAAAAATAAAAAATATATCATGGTTCTAGTAAATTAATTTTAAAAATAAAAAATATATCAGGGTTCTAATAAATTAATTTAAAAAATAAAAAATATATCATGGTTCTAGTAAATTAATTTTAAAAATAAAAAATATATCATGGTTCTAGTAAATTAATTTTAAAAATAAAAATTAAAAATTAAAAAATTTATTAGGCATGGTCAACATATTATTTAGCATAGTGAAACTATAGTCGTATTTTCAATATAAAGATGGAGGGTGTATATGTGTGATATCTTCACATAACAAGGTACGAAAAAGTTGTATATATATATATGGGTACATATATGTTTACTATTTCCACATTGTTAGATGAACACGACTCTCTACAATGATATGATATTGTTCATTTTGAGCATAAGCTATCATGACTTGCTTTAATCTTCTGTAAAAGCTTCGTACCAATGGAGAGAGTATTATTTGTTTATAAACCCATGGTCATTCCCTAAATTAGCTGATGTGGGACTTGCATCATCCAACACATATAACAAGGTTTGATTAGAATCTTGTGCCCCGTAAAGTTGACGAGAAAGTTGGAAAATTTCTCATATAAGTGTTCGACTCTAAAATTTGTTAAGAAATCATATTATACCAAATTATTAATTTTTCGCGTTACTTTTATTCTACCCAAATTACGTGATGGTTCATAACTTGAAAGCAATATTTATTATGGTATTGTTGCGTTAAACACAAAAGGCTCTAACGAGCAAGAAACATGGACATGTTGTAAGGCGTACTGGGTTTATAACACAATCTTCTTATATGTCAACGACATATTTTTTATGTGAAATCTCATATCGGTTGGATAGAGGAACGAAACAATTTTTATAAAAATGTGAAAACCTCTTCCTAGTAGATGCATTTTAAAACGATAAAGCTGACGATAATACATAACGGGTCGAAGTGGACAATATATTGTTAGCAGTTGGTTTTGGCTATATTACAAATGGTATCATAGCCAGACATTGAGCGGTGTGCCATCGAGGACGTTGGGCCCTAAGGGGGTCATGAGATCCCACATCGGTTGGAGAGAAAAACGAAACATTATTTATAAGAGTGTGGAAACCTCTTACTAGCAATTGCAAGGTTGACGACGAAGCCAAAACGAATAATATTTTCTAGCGGTGGGCTTGAGTTGTTATAGTTCAAGAATACACTAATAACTTTATCAAAGCCGAGAATATTTTTCCACCACAATTTTCTTACGTCAATTGTTCTTTACAGGCCCCGATTCACTATTCATGCGCACACATGTTATAAGGAGATTCACACATTCTTTCGAGAAAAAGCTAGCTTCCACTAAAAGCGGGTTCGAATACATGTTCTTTTCAAAATAAAGTTGGTCAAAATAAAGTAGATATTCTCTTATTTTTATATAACAATAAAATATTAAATTGTGTAAACTATATCTAAGCTCACTTGCTAGTAGATATTGTCTATTTTGGTCTCATAACTTTAAAACATGTCTATTAGGGAGAGATTTTCACACTGGAATGCTTCGTTCTTCAGTTGATTCTATTTTTTTTTTTAAGTATTTTTTTTTTCAAAAGTTATTCTACAAAGACGTAAATCTAATTCAAATGAGATTATAATTCAATATATGAACAAATTAAAATTTAATTGAAGAATTTCTTGAAAAGCTAGCCTAAGGACTAGGTATGGATCAAGCTGGTCCTGCAAGAGAATCGCAGCCGTTCAAATCCTCCAGCACAAAGATTCAAAAGGTGGCGATTTTGTGGAATCCCTTGCTTTTTATTGAATCCTCCAACCGATCTTTCTTTATTTATATTATTGTTCGTTCCCTCGTTCATGGAAAATATCATATTTTGTGGAGAGGTTTCCACGTCCAATGAATACTTCTTTTCTCTCATCAACAAACGTGGAATTTCACAATTCACTCCTTGAAACCTAGCGTCCTCCTTAATACACAATTCGATATATGACTTTAATACTATTTGTAACTGCTCAATCCCAAATGTATTGTTCACTTTGGACTTTTACATATCACATCAGTTTCATAGTTCTAAAAACATGTCTTCTAAAGAGAGGGGAACGAATCACTCATTAAGTGTGGAAACCTCCTTAATAGACGCGTTCCAAAAACATTAAGGGAAAGCCTAAAAAGAACAATATCTACCAGCGGTGGCTTGAGGGGCAGTGTGGCAGTAAGAATGTTAGGTCCTCAAGGGGAGTGGATTGTGAGATTCCACATCGGTTGGAGAAGGGAATGCGAAAAATTCCTTATAAAAATGTGGAAACCTCCTCCTAATAGACGTGTTTAAAACCGTGTAGCTGATGACTATACATAATAGGCTAAAACTACCAGTAACATAAAAAATAATCCCTACTACTTGCAAGATTCTTGGTTAGTTTTGAATCTTTAAAGAAAGAATCCTCTTTGAACGATCCATCATTTTCAACTTTCTCTTATTTATATATATATATATATATATATAAACTCCAAACCCAAAGCATTAGAGCGCTAGCTGCATTGAGGCCATCTCAAGCCAAGCCACCACCGCTACAACAAAAGGGATTGATATATAAGTTATTATTTGGGATGGAAAGGGTGAAGAGATTAGCAGCTGAGCATGAGGTGCTGATAATAAGTAAGACTTCATGCTGCCTTTGTTATGCAGTCAATGTTCTTCTAAGGGAGCTTGGAGTTAGCCCCTTGGTGTACGAGCTGGACCAGGACCCTGATGCCCGGGACATGGAGAAGGCTCTTGTAAGGCTACAAGGCTGCCATACGCCCGCCGTCCCCGCCGTCTTCATCGCCGGGGACCTCGTCGGCTCAACCAACGAAGTCATGTCGCTGCACCTCAGCGGAGAGCTCAATCGAATGCTGAAGCCCTTCAAGGTGGTTCAAGAGAACTAGAGCTTGTGATATGATCCTATGGAACAACTAACTCAACCTCGGATTCTCCAAAACTTAGCAGCTTTCTATGTTATTATGTCGTGTGTGTAATGAATAAAACTAAGTGTATGTCAACTAGTCTCAATGTTGATTTGGGCTTTATAACATAGACCTTTTCTTTTCCATATTTTTAATCCTTACTCCTCGCTCTATTTCCTGATTTTTGTTCTTGTTCGTTGTTATATTGTTATTTTTATCGGTTTATCGATCTATATGTAAAATATTCTAAGATCTATTGAAACCCTTCTGAAAAAAAATAGTGATTATTTTGGTGTAACTCGTACAAAATAGTGAAATCTTGTCCAAAGTAAAGGAACTTGTAACCGCTCAATCTCACCGTTAGTATATATTGTCTGTTTTGACCTGTTACATATTGTTGTCAACCTCTCCTTGGGTGGGAAAGATGTCCGTCTTCTTGTAAGAAATGATTTCTTCCACTTTTCGACCAATGCGGATCTCACAATCCAGATAGGCAACTTTAATTCTCAGCACAACTATCAAAGCCTTTGTTGAGGTAAGAAACCAAAGTAATTAACAACTGTTTGTATAAAATTTGGATAACCGCTAGAATTAGATTACCTAAGATCTAGAAACAAGATTTGGAAGCCTTGCTCTAAATTGAATTACTTCACAATCGAACATGATCAAGGCGATTGAATGACAATTCTACCACACGAATACTTGAAAGTTAGAAATGACAAATATGATGAACAGATTTCTTAGGGAAAACTTCTGAATTTGAGATATGAATTACATTCATCAACGAATCTCATTTTTACCTAACATATTTTGGATATTCGTAGTCTTCCGACAAGAGACGTTTGTGATCGTAACATATTGCGGGTATTCATAGTCTCCAGACAAGAGACGTTTGTGATTGGGATTTAATCCCGAGCCCCTTTCATCCCCCACAAACGAAGTCAAATTGACTTATTTGACCATTACATAATTTATGAAATTAAAAATAATACTTTCTAACCAATGTTGATGTAGGTAGGTAGACATACTGTTGTTCTGTGAATAGGTTCATTTATCACACCATACCATTTATAACAACCGAATCTCATTGACCGGAGTCAAATAAAAACCTAATCTCACCCACAGTAGTCAAATGAAAACTAAATTTAAATGATAAAGATCAAAACTTTAAAATTTTAATTTAAAAATAAATAGAAAATAAGGCGTGTATATATATATATATATATAAATAATAAATTTTAAGATTTTTTGAAAGTAAAAAAAATTAAAATTTTAATATATTACAAGAGCTGCGCTCGGGTACGGCCAATCCCACGATGGCAATTCGAATCTTCCTTCGTCTGTGGGAACGGCGTCGGCCGTAGATGCCATTTCCCCTCTCATTCAGCAGAGTCCTCCGAGAAGCGAGCGAAATGGACGAAGCCAAGGCGACGGCAATGGCTGCTCATCACCAACAACAGCTGCTACTGCAACAGCACAAAAAGCAACAGCAACAGCAGCAGCAACAAACTCAGCAGCACCAGCAATTTCTTCTTCTTCAACAATTGCAGAAACAGCAACAGGCTGCCGCTATCTCTCGCTTTCCTTCCAATATCGACGCCCATTTGCGCCCACCGGGTCTTCATCTCCGCCCTGGATCCATTAATCTCCATCAAAACCTTAACCCTAATCCAACCGCGTCTGTTCCTAATTTGCAGTCTAACCCTAGTCCCACTCAACCACCGTCACAACTATTGCAGCAGCAGAAACAGCAGCAACAGCAACAACACCAGCTGCAACAGAGGGCAATGCGAACCGGAAACCAGGCGGAACTCCAGATGGCTTATCAGGACGCTTGGCGTGTGTGCCATCCTGACATTAAGCGCCCTTTTGGTTCCCTTGAAGATGCTTGCGAGAGGTTCGTCATTTTCAAATGCGTGTTTCTAGTACTGTTTTTTGTGTGAAGTTCCTAATAGTATATAATTATGTTCAAAGACTATTGCTAGTGAGGATTTTGAATTTTGAATTTATCATTCTTTTAAATCCCGTTCCGATCATTAGTTTAGGACCATATGAATTTGGATTATAGCGTGTGCTTACTTAAAGGAGCTTAACGGATTAAGATGACACCTGTAGAAAAGGAAAGGAAACTAGTAGTATTTGTGTTGAGATTACTAAGCACACTGCATAGAATTTGGCTCCCCGTGAATACGATGCATCTGGTGCAGTAGATCTAGATTCTATTCTTGCAATTATGAATTGTGTTATGCAAATTCTAATTATTGCTTGGATTGGTGACTGACTAACTTTTGTTTCTCGACACGAAAAGGGCACGCAGAAAAAGCCCACCAATGGAAGTCGAACGTTAGCTATGCAAAAAAGGCTTCCAGTTCCAAACAACAAAACCTAACAGAGAATTACAATATTCCTTGGAAACCGAGGCCCCAAGTAGAGGCATTAAGCCTAATGAGAAACCACACCTCCTCCTGATCATCCTGTGAATCATGGTGTTCCAGGGAGATTGTTGGCGAAGTTACAATGAATTTTTATCCAAATTCTATTCTTATAGCAATTCTAATAGACTGGAACTATTTCCTCCCTTGATTTCTTAATCTAATTTGGGCCTCAATATAGTATTTTCATACTGCGTATGGCCTCCCTTTCTACGGATTTCTCTAAGACAAATCAAGAGGCAAAAGCAAAAATTCTGTATTGGGGAAAGTTCACAATCTCCGCATTTCTGTTAACATTGACAAGGTTAATGTGGTTTCTTCTCAATGAGTTTATGTTTTCAAATGAGAATCCTTAGCTGGGACATTAGGAGTTTGCAGCCCACGTACAGTTCGGGCTCTCTGTTTGGTAAATTTTTCAAGCAATAAAAGTTTGGTAATTTGGGTATCTTCTTCCTAACTTCATTTGGGGCTTCCAAGATTGGCTGGCCATCTTTTAATTTCCTCGGGTTCTCCGGTGATATTATTATAATGGGGAATTATCCATGATCCATGATCCTTGATGGAGGTGCTCTCTCTCTTAATCTGAGACTTCTTGTTTTATTCATTTATATTTAATTATTATCATCATCATTTTTCATTTTTATATGCCTGTGGCTGTTCCTCAAGACACTAAAGACTTACGGGTTGTATTGGAAAGTTCGGTAGGCTTTAGTGAGACATGGATATCGGTTGGTGATTTTATTGTCCTGCAGCTGTCTTTTGGAAAATCCCTACTGATCATGTTACTTCTATCATGAAGCCCTTCTATAGGGTTATAGATTTCCTTTAATGGATGTCCTTGATGCTTTGGAAAGTGCAAATTCAAATGCTTGTGGAGGGGGATGAAAACACTCCCTTTTTCGGGATTGATGCTGCAAAATGTGAGGGAAAACAGAAGAATCCATGTTAACTCTGGGGACTATCTGGGCAGAGAAAAAAAAACGGAAGGTCTTTCAAAATTTAGGAAGATCCTTGAGGGAATTCGGTTTAATCCGGTGTTTCTTATACTGGGTTCTCTCTCTCAAGATTCTCTTTATTCCAAATTATAGCATTTCCTTAAAGTGTTGTACCCTGTTGGATTTTCTTTTAGTGCCGTCCACTCGTGGTTTTGTTAGTCCTTTCGTATGTTTCATTTTACCAATGTAGTAGTTTCTTAAGATCTCTTTTGTAGAGTCAAGGATACATTGACAGTTACAATCCCCATACTACCTAAAATTCTAAAAATTCATTGACCATTATAATGATACATGGTCGATCTGTTTAAAATTTAAACTAGGTCCATATGGTCTTTGCCCATTCCTTCTATTACTTGGTTGTTTGTATGAGTGTGAAGGAGCACTGGATAACTCGAAGTGTTGGGAGTAGCATGCTTTATAGCATCTGTTCTTCCATATTCTTATCACAATTTGATGATTCATTGATGCATTATGCAAAAAAATTGTACAGGCTGCTGCCTTATCATGTGGTGGCCGACTATGAGGCCGAAGAAGATGATAGAATCCTCGACTCTGATCCAACTGGCCAAATGCTGTCACGCTCTCAGCAGTGGGACCATAACATCTCAGCCAAAATTTCTGAATTCATTGCCACTTTTGAGAAGCAGGTGTTGGCTTTTAACATCATAACTCACAAAAGGACACTGGGGGAGTTCCGTTCAGAAGAGAGATTGATGTTTGAACAAGCCCTTATGCAAGAGGAGAAACGGAACCTCTTGGAACTAAAAGCTGAGATTGAATTGAGAGGGAAGGCTGGAAGAGAGGCTCATGATGCCAAAATGCGGATGGCAGCAATGATGCAGACGACTGACCTAACGAGGGCTGAACCACAGGCTAACGAAATGATGGTTCGTGGTCCCATTAGAACAGGTGCACATGTTGGGTCCCAAAGCAGCAATGTTCGAGTTGGCCATGGTGTTGGGGAGCAGGAGCAAGTTCTTCCAAATGAAATGGTCAATGGATGGGGAAACAACAACACACAGGGAGATGATAAAGAAGCATCAGAGGATCTATTAAATGATGAGGAGGCTGAGAATGGCGATACAGGCATGCACGATAGTTGGCGCGAAGTCGGGGAATTTGACCTGAATACGAGATGAAATCTTGGTGGAACAGCTTAACAATGGAGTTTAAGTGAAGTAGAGCTGTTTTCTCCAATCACCGAGGTTCGCTTAAAATGGGATGTTCTTGTGTATTTGACGAACAGTAGAGGACGTGCTTGCATATGAGACGAAAGCCGAATTACCAGTCGAGGATGATGGGTACGTTGGATCTTTGTGTAGGAAATACATGTATTACTTGTACTTCTCTATATTGGTGATAGAAGTATTACAATTTCCAAAAGGGAACATGCTGTACTTAAAAAGTAGTATATGATGTGATAGAAAAAAGATTTGGAAAGTAGCAAGAATTGAAGAGAATATGCTTTTGGTAAACATATTTTTGAAACTTGCTTTTCAGTAGAAATTATGAGTATAATTTTTTAATTTTTTTTTATTGTATTCAGATTTTGAATTTTAAATTTTAAAATTTAGAATTATGATAAAAATGATAACTTTTTTTTAAAAAAAAATAAAAATAAATACAGTATTCAAGTTATAAATTCAATTTATTTTTGTTAAATTAAAATATTTACCCGTTATATGATATTAATTCCAAGTCTATATATATATTGACATCTTTTCTAAAAGGGCTTATGAATGAATAAAAATAATTTTGAAATAACAATTAAAAAAAATCGGTAAAAAAGTTGAAAGAGGCTTCCAATTAATATTTTTAAAAAAATTTATAATCTTTAAGAGATTTTTTTCTAAAAGTGATTTTTATTAATTTAGTGTCACATTGATTAATATATTATAAAAGAATGGTTGACGATTATTGGGAGTGTGTCACATTTATTAATTTAGTGGAAGATCATAGATTTTATAAGGGAAGAATTCTATCTTCTTTGATATGAGACCTCTTGGGAAAGTCCAAAGCAAAGCTATGAGAGCTTATGTTCAAAGTGGACAGTATCATACAATAGTGGAGATACCTAAGATACCTAAAATGAACCTCAGCCAACTGAAGATCAAGGCTCTTTCTAATGCTTTTGCAAGGAATCACATACATGAATCTTAATATTTCAGCTAACAAATTTAGCAAACAACCAAACCTCCCATTCCAAGAACAAACTTGGGAGGATTTTTGAAAATGAGAAAACCAATCAAGAAAACAAACATTCCTCAAAGAGCAAGTGGCCAACTACATCTAGAGCTTTGTCTTTTCAACCCCAAATATATCACTCATGGCTTACTTAAAATTGCACCCCATTGAAGAATACAATGCATCAAACATCTAACCCTATACTAGTTAACCAACCAAAAACTGGAACCGAAACTGAAAATGGGAGGGAGAAGATGGTGCTCAATAAAAATTGAGATCATACTTTGAAAATGGGACATGCAAAGAATGCACAAAATCTAGAATTATCCTACAAAATATTGGGGAGTTGAGAGTCTAATCTCTGTTGCAATTCCTTGATCTTCAAAGACAGTTCTGTTTTCTGCTCCTTGTAGCTTTGTAATAAATATTTTTTTCCTTCTATCAACTCCTTCAAGTCCCCCACCTCCTTTTTCAACATCTCAATCTTCTCCCCATCTCTTACTTTCTCAGTTACCTCAAAATTGCAATTGACATCCATATAGCCATTTACGTGACCGTTTCTCGTCTCATTTGGCCAACTTCTTACCGTGGAAGGTGACTTATCTTTGGGGCTTGCTTGCCCCAAACAGTGATCTGCAATTACTTTTCTAAGCCTCTGAATCTCTCTTTCTGAATCAAACAAGTCTTGGTTTGAAGCATCAAGCTGTGACTGTAAATGGGAGGAATGGGCTACCTGAGCGTTAAGAGAATTTTGCAAGTGAACAATTTGATCTTGCATTTCCAGTATCATATCATCCCTCCTTTTCAACTGGTGCCTCAACTTATGAATCACTTCACGCTTGCTGAAGATATCAGAACCAGACTCTGAAACACAAGGTGAATCTGAGCAGTTTGAGTGGTGGAATTGCTTTGCAGGCAACTCGAGCGGGTCAGGAGATGATGCCCAAATTACACCGTTCTTGTTGAATTCAGAAGCAGGAACCATAACCAAAGGAAGGGCGCTTTCAGAGGCAACCACCATTTGGTCAGTAGGTGGACACTTTACATCCGTTGTACACTGCGTCCCTGCATATCCAATATAACTCCGTCATTAGAACACAAACAATAGTAAAATAGAGCCAAAAGCTGCATAAATTATTCAACTACCATCTTAAAGGTCACAAGTTGAATCAGCCAAAATGAGAATCTTCATCTATTGAATCTCACTCATTAAGGCAATAGTTAGATAAAAACAATAAAACATTGTGATATCTTTCCAACAATTTATGAGAGTGCCTTTTGAAACCTCATTTCTCGTTTGAGGGCAACTTATAAGGATGGAGCCCAAACTTCCTATTTAGTTAAAAGGAGTAGTTGGTGTGGAATTAAAAGGCGAAATTACAAGGAGAATTGAAAGGGGAAAAATTTAGCCCCACATCCCAAAGACAGACTATGCAAGATGAAATGGCAACACCAAGTGCAGCGAATATGGAAAGAACAAAGAAATCCAAACTGGGCCTGGTCAGCATGCCAGCACGGAAACAACCTCCATGAAGGAAACCTCATGTAGCCATCGCTGCAGCATGATTTCCAAAACGATGCAAGGCCACGGCAAAGGTTAGCCTCATAGCACAGTCCACAACAACCTTCCCCCCAATCTCGAGATATGATATGGCAAGAGGGAAACCCCTTCCAGATGACTCATGGAGAAGAACCCTCCTCTCTCCTGCATGCTATGGCTAGAAGGAAACCCCCACCCTAAAAAAAGATGGTTTCGAGGTATTCAGCTTTCAAATCTGAAAATTTTGAAAACACCTCAAACCTGTTTTCAAAATAAAGCCCTTCTAAGTTATCAAATCCAGATTGAGTTTTCAAAAATTGTGCCCACCAAACAGCTATTTCTTAAATTTATTTATTTTGCCAATCTAAAAAAAGGGAAATAAATAAACAAAAAAAAAACTTAATCCAAATCACATACCAGATAGGCCCTAACTTGTCTAATACAAAACAACTAATTTTCTGCACTAAAGCTATTAAACTCCCATAGAATAGCTCAGCCTCAATCTCTATGTCCATAAAAGAAGAAAAGCACCTAAAGAGACAAAAAACCAAAATTTTGATATTCTTTTTTCAGATCCTCCTATCCCCACCTTTCGAGTCTCCAAAGTTCAAATTGACAAAAAAATATAAACATGCACATCATGTTGACAGCAGAAGATCAAAGAAACATATTAGTAGAATCCATACCACATGAGAAGGTAAAACACAAAAATGCAAACACACATAAAAATCTCATTAGCTCAGCAGCTAACCGAACACTGTGTTTACAAAGTTATCTATCTTTTTTCCCTTCTAGATGAAAGATTACAAAAACCAACCTGGCATACAGTTGAAACAACATTCATCATCTCGTGTAAATGAATATACATTCGAGCAACGACATCCAGCAGCCTTTCTTCTGTCAGAAGATTTCGCATTTCCTGAGCAGTAAATAACTCAGAGTTAATAAAGCTTCAACCAGGCATTTTTCTTCAATCATTCATAAATAACAAGACCTGTTAAAGAACTGCCACTATCCTTCAGCTGCCTTGTGTCAAACACTTGTTTCAGCTTGTAACCTAGGCGAACTGATAGGGTGCTCAATAATGCACCCCCAGCAATCAGAACCCAATTTGGGCCCTCGTTGGAAGAAATTCTAGACTTCTGAGCTCTAGGACCTCGACTTGTTCTTGGAGTCATTTTAGGATCTAGAAGCGTGGAAGATGTTCCCAGATGATTCAAGCTCTATTGTGAGATATATATCAGAAAAAGATTAAAAAGTAATTTGATGCCTTGAAGGTTGATCATGTAAAATGCATAAAAAATAGTATGAATTTTGTTGCTTTCAAAGTGAAAACCCATGGTTTCAAATTCTAGGAACATTGGTGACACGAAGAATAATATTTTATGAGTGCAAAAACAAGTAATGCAGAAGACAGCAATGAGCATCTAATTGTAACAAAGAGTAGAATATTGATATTGGTGGAAATGTAGAAGATTCACTTTGCAAAAATGTTGTTGGAAAAGTAGGTGGCGACTTAAATCTAGAGAAATGTTATCAAGAGTGAAATTGGAAAATTGTCTTGCCTAATATCATTGAGCTTCTAATTGTAACCAAAGAGTAGAATATTGATATTGATGGAATTGTAGAAGATTCACTTTGCGAAGTGTTGATGGAAAAGTAGATGGAGACATAACTCTGGGGAAATGTTATCAATAGTGAAATTCAATAGTGAAATTGAAAAATTGTCTTGCCAAATGTTAATGATGAGATACGAAAGAGAAGCCCATTCATTGTCTTATCTCCAACTTCAATCTAGAGAAATGTCACCGAAGTTGAAGAAACTTGTAAAAAAAAAAGTGTTTGATACTATTGAAGAAATCTCAATACTAGATAAAATGAACTAACAACTCTTTATTTTTAATATTTATATCTATATACATAAGCAATATATGCAAACCTACAAATATTACCGGAATTTGTAACTATCCTTGAAGAGAGTTCATTTTTTAATCTATAGGGGTTGGGATTTAGTGAACTGGTGTTGCTTGTAGTCTGGAGAAATACACACAAACCTAAGTAATTATAAACAACATTAAACATCAAAATATGGATAAAAAAATCAGGAACACCTAATTAATTTGATATTGGAAGTCAATCCCATAAGACAGAGTAAATCCTCTAGCAATTAGTCTGTCCTTCGATCTCTCAACCTTTCCATCAGTCTTATGCTTCACTGTAAAGATCCACTTACACCCAACAATTCATTTTCCACTAGGTAGACCTACCACTATCCACGTGCCATTTTTCTTAAAGCTTCAATCTCATATTGCACAACTTTTCTCCTAACTAGTCACACATTTAAAATCACCCGTTGATTTATTTATTGAAAGTTAATTATAACCTAAGTCTGGCACATGTGATACAAGCTAAAATATAAATTTTGAATACCTCTAATTGAACTTATTCCAACCACTTTAGAGTATTACACATCTACAATTTTCAAAAAGGAGTTGGAGTTGGAGTTGTTAGCTTGATAGTTTTGAAACAGAGATGCATTCTCTGTCATATGACCTGATGCTCCGGAGCCTAAAATCCAAGGTTGTATCCCTTCTTTACTAGCTATCAAGGAAGTAGGTATAACTTTCTGTGCAACCAGTCATCCGTTTGTAGTGCATCTATTTGTTCTTTCCTAAATGGTGTTGACTCTGAATTGACAGAATTATCACAAGCTACATTAGCCATATAGGCCCTACCATCATGATCA